TTTTCGGTTTATCCTTCCGCTGTTGTTGAATATAAGCAGATGCATGTGTTTATATTCCTCCTCTTCTAACAAATGTTTGTGTGCCACCCACCTGCTTTTGCTCCTGGCTTTTACTCACTTTGTCAAACCAAAGCAGCATATAGACATCTTTCTGCCTTGCTTTGTCTGTGAAGATTTTGACATTAAGTTGGGCGGCTTCATTTCCAAAAGAAAGTGTTGAGAATAGTCAGTTATCTGGATTCATTTCAGCTCTTAAAACTTTAGTTTTCAGTTATTAGAAAATTTTTTTAACATAAAGTCAGAATACCTGTTGGAAGAAGGTAAAAAATATTGATATCTGTTTAGCGTTCAGGCAATTGTTTTTGAAAACCTAGGGAGTAAAAGTAGAATTCTGAGTTTTGCAAATATTGGTTTTGTCCAAAGTTACCTCTTTGGACCAATAATCTGTGTTTATATTGTGGTGTGGAATTTGTCTGAAAGTGATCCCCCTTTTCTTGCAAACATTTAGCCACTATTTCATATGGTGAGGTAGAAAGGATGGGATGACATGATTTTATGAGGTTTTATTAATCTTTGGCTGCTAAATACTATAAATTAATTGGAGTCAAGAGCACATCTTTCATTTTATTTTCACTTTGAGCTGTCAGCATAGAATCACAGATTCCTAGAGTTGAGAACGATCCCTCCCCATCACCTTCCACTAGGCATGATGAAGTGGCCCAGCTTGTCAATGGCAGAGACATAATTAGGCCACAGGGGTGCTGCCTCCAGGGCTCTACTTCCCCAGGCTGCTGCTCTGTCCTTCCTGCTTCCCATAGTGCCCCCCACCCCCCGTTATCAACGTCCCCCCCAGAGTGGGACATTTGTTGCAAACTGACATTGACATGTCATCACTAAAAAGTTGGGCAGACTTTTGAGCCAAATTTTTCCAACTTCAAGATGGAAATATGTCTCAAGGTGGTTTTTAAATGTTTTTGAAATAAGAATGGATGCACAGGAGCTGAGTTTGTAGTAGGCAGCAGCACTAAGTTCAGTGGTGGGATTGTATCCAGCCACCAGAAATACTTTCAAGAGGGAAGACCACAAAGCATTTAATTCATGTGGAAGAAAGATGGGAAAATAAACCAGAGGTCCCTGGTTCTTTGCACTGCCCCTTCCCTCTGGACTTCTGGAAAGTTCTCTGGCAACAGCAGAGATATGAGCAGGGGCTACATGCGACATTCAGGGCCCCAGGGCTGCAGAACGCTTGGTGTGTCGAGGGCTATTAGTGGCTTTGCGGTGTTTGTCATGTTTGCTTATAAGCACGCAAAACAAAGTTCTGTTAGGTTGTGATTTGTATGAAACAGATTCAGTGCATACAATTTTCCTTTCATTTTTTTCATTGTCAGTCTGTAGAAACTGACTGTTGGATGAGCAATCGCACACTTCTACAGGAAGTGTCCAGTTTTCTGTTATTCTAACACAGATTGGTAGACTTTGAGACCAAGGCTAACTGACATTCACAGCATGGGCGTCACATATCAGTTTTCTGTTAAGTTCCCTACTTCCCAAGCTTTCTTAAACTTAAGGCTGAGTAGTTATTAAATGGGTACTTTATGTCACATGAGTATTGTGGGATAGCAAACAGGTTTTTCTTTGGAATATCACAGCAGGGTACCTCATGGGGCCATTAACTCGTGAGTCAGTCTTCTCCAAGACCCTCCTTAAGAACACAACTGTCTTGTGGCCTGAGTCTCAGCTTCAGCCGTGTTGATGTTTGCTGTGGATTGAGTGAGAATAACCAGTATGTAAATCTGTTGCTCGGAAGGGGTTTCCTCTAGGCAGCTGTGTTTTAGTATTCTTTGAATAAATAAGAAAAGTGTCTTTCATTTATTTAATATGCCTTTAGTTCATGTGACAGATGAAACAATGTTAAACTAAAAGTATGCTGTTTTGAATATATTTTTACTATAAAATAGACACCATGTGAATCAAATGTATGGCTCAATTAATTATCAAGTGAACACTGTCCTGGTCAAGCAGTAGAACTGCGCCAGCCACACCACAGACCCTTTTCTGTACCCTCTCCCTATAGCAGGCCCCTGTCACCAAGAGGGCCCATTGCCCTAACTTTTATCATAATACCCTCCTCACACGTTCTCCTTACAGTGTTCTCACCCTACTGTACCCCTATGGACGTTATGGGCTGGTCTTGCCATTTTCTTACAATTATGTGTTTAGACATGACTTTGTTATAATGAGGCGAAGACAAAGAACCTGAAGACATTGTTTTCCATCTAAAATTAAGAAACAATATAAAAGAGTTATACAAAGGAGTAACTAAGAGAAGTGACTTCTAAAAGTACATTCTGGTTGTATCTGTGTATTCAGAACTGTAGCTTCACTTAGAAAGGGAAGGATCACTTTGGTGCCCGAAGGAAAACACCCCATAGCTTGTTTGAGAAGAACCTACACTCAGTGACTCCGTGTCCTGTCATTTGAACTGACCAAGAACGTGAGCATCTCTTTGCACCCTGGAGACACCTTCAAGTGGGCTTTCTCACTTTTGCAGTAACTGCTCAAGTTTGTGAGACTGGAATGCAAAAGCTCTTGTCCTCAGAATGTGGTATATCTCAGGTTTTATACCAGTGGCATGGAAACTGGTTCTCTGAGGTAGTGTCTGTGGCCGAGACCCCTTGTCTTTTGTTACTGTGCTCAGCGCAGCGCATTTCATCATGAGGCAGGCAGGCCATGCTTTTACACCAGTGACATTAGCAAAGCGAAGACTTCGAGAACATTCCAGTAAGAATTTATACGGTGTGATAAAAAAATACAGTGAATGTTTAAATTTTTGAAAATTTTTTTACAGTAAAAGACACATTGCTGTTAATCCCCCTCAAAATACTCCCCCTCGCTTTGAACACCCTTACCCATCCTTCTTGCCACTTTCTGAAGCAGTTTTGGAAGTCCTCTTTCGTGAGTGTCTTTAGTTGTGCTGTCATGGCTGCCTCGATGTTCTGAATCAGTTCGAAACATTTATCTTTCATGGTCATTTTGACTTTGGGGAAGAGCCAGAAGTCAAATGGTGCCAGATCCGATGAATAAGATAGATGAGGACACACTGTAATGTTTTTATTTGACAGAAATCGCTGTACCAGAAGTTATATGTGACATGGAGCCTTTCCGTTGTGATCACAAAACACAGTGAATGCTGCTGCCGAGTGCCATCCAATGAAAAGGCAGGGATCGTCAATATGGGAAGTGGCACATCGAACCTTAGTAAGAGTGTGTGACAGATTTCAATTTGTTCGGTGCAGTCAGTTGGGTGTGAGCTACGGTTGAGAGAAGGTGTGTTTTAAGTGTGCCATAAATCATTCTCCGTCGTGACAATGCTTCGTGTCACACATTGCTTCTGGTACAGCAATTTCTGTCCAATAAAAACATTAAGATGTATCCTCACCACCTTATTCACTGGATCTGGCACCTGTGACTTCGGTTCTTGGATTTGGCCAGACGACTCACAGCCTCATCACTGGCCCACGCTCCTCACAGTCCACTTCCCAGGGGTTTTGGCTTTCCCGTCTTCTGCCTGCTTGTGTGATAAATCAGACGTGCATGGAGGTTCTCTCCCATGTGGGTTGGGAAGGGCGCCTAGCTGGGTAGAGTTTAAGTTAAGTGTACAGCAGAAGTGCTTGGCAGCTGGTCACTGAGAAGCCTTTTGAACTTAATTCAAAAGATAAAAAGTTCATGAGCTTGATAACAAAATAAGCATGAAGAAGAGGAAAGGGCCAGAGGACTCAGCAGTTGCGTTGGCGCATGAGGACCCAGAATTTAACAAGATTAGTTCTCTAAAACATTTACTGCAGACTGCTAGAAGACTGTGTGAAGATGGTTAAGTGAAATCAAATAACTTGCAGCAGCTGCATTTTTTTTCCTGATTCAACACTGGCATTTGTTTTTGCCTTGCTGTACTTTACTATTAAATACTTTTCTTTAAGTTGATTTCAAACATACATACATGTATTTAAGAAGGAAATTTGCCAAAAATGGAGGGTAACTATATTAATAAATACAGTTAAAAGCAAGCCAGTATTACTAGATTCTCACTGATACTTCATTCTGTTCTTTGCTTTTGAGAACAAATAAGTGATTAGGGCTGTTCAGCGTACTAGCTTAAAACCAGAGGCCTTTCCCGTGGCACGAGGAGAATTGAAAAGAGCACAGGTGTCACACTTGGCCAGCTACTTGACAGTCTTGGACCCTCAGTGTCGTTGTCTGTTAAGTGTACAGTGGGTGGTGATGGTAACAAGATTATCGTGAGGACAGAAGAAGGCAGGTGCCCCCTGACGCCAGGTGTATGGTCCTCGTGACACTCACCCAGACTGTCATTCAGTGCTGTGTCTGAAATTACTTTCACACCACCACTGGCACCACTCCAGCCTGGTGAGGCACAAGTTAGAAAACCCAAGGAGTGCAAAGCAGTTGGAGACGAGCCTGGCTGTGTTCAGCTACTGTTCTTGGCCCTTTCCCTACCCTGTCAGCAGAGAGAAGGGACCTGCCGATCCCTGCCTGACACATGGGTGCTGTGCCGTGTCACACGTGTTTACCTTGGTTGAAACGCACTGTCCTGCACTTTCCATGTGTGGTCAGCATAGTGGGTACCACCGTGAAGGGTGGAGGGGCCATGTATAGGGATGCCTGCAGCCTGAGAGATGCAAGCCACTGGTCGCCTCCTGCCCCTGCTGGGGAATGCCGCTGGGGCTCGCTTATGCGGTTGTGTGGGTTCTGTCAGTTAAATCGCTGCCTGGCTCACAGGATTCCCCGGGAAGTATTGTTACATGGGCGTTGCTTGTCATTTTTTATGGTCCACCGATCCATGTATGAGTAGAAGGCAGTCTTTTTTTCACTCTTTATCTTTATGTCATTTATGCAAAAATTATGCAGAGAATTCCTGTGGACCTGATGATTAGATTAATATCTAAATAACTGGTGATGATTCTTTGGGTTTTGTTTTGTTTTAGCATATTCGCATATTCCTCACTTCTCTGGTGAAGAATGGGAGAGATAGAAGGAACGTACAGAGTCCTGCAGACCCCTGGGAGCCGCCTGGGTGCACAGACAGCTACGGGAGTGAGCACCCTCGAGCCCGGGCAGGCTCCCTCGGTGGCGACGGCAGGGCCACCAGGCAGGATGCAGACGCACCTGCACATGAGAGTGAAGCTGCTGGACGACACCGTGGAAGTGTTTGCCATTGAGGTGAGAAGCGCAATTCGGGGAGGCATGCTGCCTATTGTTTTCTGAAAGTCACGTCTTAAGTCCCACGTCTCATTTTGCTGGTTATTTCTGAAGTTGACCAAGAGTGGCTTTGGTGACACACAGTAAAATTCTTGGAAATGAGAGTCTGAGTTTCACCTTTTAGTTTGGAGAGTGGATTCTCCTGTCTTTCCTTTAAAATTCTGCTGTCCTGTGGTCTCACCGTTCTTGCCTTTTGAGAGGCTGGCTTAGCGCTGTAGGGTGCAAACTGGAATCATATGGTATCCGCCCTAGTCTTCCTGAATCATCACTGGCTGCCTGGGTGAGGGTTGTCACTCAGCCTCACCACGTCAGCTTCATCATCTGAAATGTGGGGGTGTTCGCAGCCCCCTTTTCCAGGATAGCTGGGGTAAGGACTGAGAAATCACTGTGCAGAGAGCCTGGACACGGGAGGTGTGGCTTGGTGTTCACATAGAACTTGTTTTTCTAGGGCAGAATAACATTTTTATTTTGAAAATTCCCTGATGTTAGAATGCACTGATAATGTTGCCAAAACAATTATACAGAGGGTGCCAAAAAAATGTACACACATTTTAAGAAAGGAAAAAATTTTATTAAAATTGTAATACTTAATATGTACAATAACAAAAGATGAGTACAAGTCATATGTATACATTTTTTGGCACCCCGGTATATGCATATGCATATGTGTATATTAATAGTTTTTAGACCCATGTAATACATTAGGAAACCTTTTTTCTGATTTTCTAAATGACATCAGAATGAATATTCTTTTCAAAAATTATTTATTTTCATATGTAATGCATAAATATATTCTTTTAAATAATTTCATATTGACTTACAGTAATATCTTCAGAATCTTCTTCTGTTCTTAACGTCACAAAATAAGGACAAGAGAATGAACTTAAACTTGAGAAAGAGGTTGATTTGTGCTTGGATTGCTCTGTCAAGAAGTCACAATGCGGGCCAGCCTAGTGGCGCGTTGGTTAGGAGTTGGCCTGGGACATCAGCTCTGAGCAGTAGGGCCCCGGTTCAGATCCCACATTAGGGCCAGTGATGCTCGCCCTCTACAGCTAAGATGGTGAGCAACAGCTCGACCTGGAGCTGGGCTGCCTTGAGTCGCTGGCTACAGTGTAGGCTGCAGTGGGCTGCCATGAGCTACCGTGAGTGGCCGGCAGCTGGCATGAGCTGCCAAGAGCTGCTGTGAGCGGCCGTCCAGTGGCCAGTGAGCGACTGCCTCACCCGGGAAGAGTGCAATGATAAAAGCAACATGGTCCAGCGAAGCGACGTCCTCCACAACTAGACTGAAGAGCAAAAGGACAACAACTTGTCTGTTCCCCTTCCCCGATTCCCCAATAAAATCTTAAAAAAAAGATGCCACGATGCTACGCAGAAAATAAAAAGATTATCGAGCCACGTGCCAGGCTGTGCTGGGCCTGAAGGAAACCTCCTTTAGGCCCTGGCAATGCCTAGATGCAGAATGCACTGCTGAGAAAGGGGAGGTGAGGGTGGAAGAGGGTGGAAGTGGGCGGGTGGGGCCTGCAGGGGCTGTTGGGAGGCAAGCACCTGCTGGGAGCCTAGGGTACACTGGCCTCTCTCACCTAAGTGTTTGATGATAGGTACCTGGTGCCTAGCATCATAGTGTCTGAACTCAAGGGACCCTGAACGCCTTTTTTAAGGCCTTATTTGAGGAGGAAATCAAGTATCATTTCATCAGGGCAGTGATAATTGAAACTGGTAGAACCTGTTTGTCCCACTTGTCACGTCACTACTGTGTTGCAAGAGTCTGGGAAGGAGGTCTGAAACAGGTAACCTTTGAACCCTGGTGGTTGGCGGTTGGTTCTCTTTGACAGCATTTCCTGTCTCTCCAAGGTACTTTTCCAGAATCACCTTGTAGGAAATAGGTTAAAGGTCTAAGGATTAATTGGGCTCCCAGATCTCTTCCAGCCAAATGTTTGCAAGCATTTCCACCAGGTAGCTGTCCTGTGATACACACATTCTCTCCCGTTGAGGCTTATGACAGGCTCAGAATTTGAAAGAATGAAAGGGAGAAAAGAGCTGCACACAGTTTACTGTTAGAGCATCATTTTTATTTTTTTTTTGTCCTGCTTCATGGTCTTTATCAACTAAAACTAGGCCCAAAAAAGAAAAAAGCACACATTTATTGTTGTCATAAATAGGATGTAGTCCTTCTCTGAAATATTCACCTTTACCGAGCATCTGGGTCATTTTATACTTAAGGAGATCAGCTGGTATTTTGTAAAGGTTTCAGAGCATTTAGAGCTTGTAAAAGTTTTAATAAATTGGGATTGCTGTTTATATTGATCAAATGTAACCATCATGTTTGGTATTTTAATATACCTGGAGAGCTACCAGAAATTAAAGAATCAGGTTACATTTCCTGTTGCGTGTCCGTGGTTGGATAGGATATGTTTTAAGTTGTGTTAGACACATGCCTTTCAGGAGGAGTGAAAATTTAAATTTAAGTTCGTTGTATTTTGCTTCCAAGTACCCTTTCCTTCACAACTACCAGTTAGCTTTGATAAATAACAAACCACTCCAAAACTTAGTTAAAACAACAAATATTTCCCATTTGCTGCGTGTCTGAGTGTTGGCTTGGAGGTTCTTCTGGTCTGAGCTGGCCTTGGGCAGTTGGGTGGCCCAGCATGGACTTACTCACATATCTGGCGCCTCACCTGGAACCCCCCTCCAGCCACAGCTTGGCCCTGCTCACCTGGAGATGGAAGTGTTCTGGGGAGGAGAAACTAGTCCCTGAGGTCTAGGCTTGGAATTCATGCTTTGTAGCTTCCGCTGGATTTTACTGATCAAAGCAAGCTGCCAGGCCGCCCAGATTCAGGGGCGGAGGAGGAGCAGAGCCACCTTGATGGGGGTGTGCCCAGGAAGCGGGGAGGTGGGGGGGGAGCCTCGGCAGGCTGCCAGAGCAGCCGTTGCCTGTGGATCAGGAATGCAGTCCTGGAAAGAAGACTGTCTGTGAAGCTCCATTGTCTGGTGTCGGGCTGGGCGGGTTTGCTATGTGATGGACACGCTTTGTTGGCCTGCTTTGAGCCAGTGGAGCTGCCTGCCCCAGACGTGCTTCCTGCAAGGCCCTCCAGAAGGGGCTAGCCAGAGCAGGCACCCTGCTGCTTTCTCCCCCGCATCTCCCGTGGGCCACAGCTCCAAAGATCCTACAGATGCAAGGTCAAGACTAGCTACCTACCTGGGCCTCCCATCACTGCTCCACCATCACTCGTCCGCTGGTCACCCGTCTGCCCACTCCTATCCCCCCTTTATACTTGAACGGACAGACACAGATTGTGGTCACGTGACATTTGCTGTTGGATTTGTGGGATGGTGTAGGCTTGCAGCGTGGAGCATGGGCGTACAGAGCAGTGAGGTCCCTGGCTGCTGGGTCTCCAGCTGCAGTGAAGACCGTCCCTGCCCTGGTCTGGCCTGGGGTCTGTCCTCCTTGGAAGGCCAGTTCCGGAGCCAAGGCATCATTTGACCCACCGTTGGACTTTCCGTGTTGAAAGTGCCTCGCTGTGTTAATATGTGGTGAATGAATGAAATCAAAAGTTAGATTGGAGTCTTCAAAAAACATTGCTAAGTATCACAAAATGTAGTAAACTTTAATAAAGTACTAAATTAAATATTAAGTCCAGGGCCAGCCAAGTGGCGCGATGGTTAGGAGCTGGCTTGGGACGCCAGAGGGCCCCGGTTCGGATCCCACATATGAGGGCCAGTGACACTGCCCTCCACAGCTAAGATGCTGAACAACAGCTCAACCTGGAACTGGGCTGCCGTGAGTCGCCGGCAACGGCGTAGGCTGCAGTCCCTGTGGCAGTGGGTTGCCATGGCTACCGTGTGTAGCCAGCAGCCAGCGTGAGTGGCCAGCAGCCGCAGTGAGCGGTCGTCCAGAAGCTGGCGACTGATCTGCCTCACCCGGGAAGAGCGCAATGATGGTGCCAACTTGGGCCAGTGAAGCAACGTCCTCCACAACTAGACTGAAGAACAAAAGGACAGCAACTTGTCTGTTCCCCTTCCCTAATTCCCCAGTGCTGTTCCCATCCCCCCAATTCCCCAATTAAAAAAAATATATATTAAGTCCAAAAAAGTTAGATTGGATTAACATGCCTTAGTTAAGACTGCTTTGAATTTTTATTTATTTACTTATTTTTTTAAAGATTTTTTTTTATTGGGGAATTGGGGGGATGGGAACAGTGCTGAGGAATTGGGGGAAGGGAAACAGACAAATTGCTGTCCTTTTGTTCTTCAGTCTAGTTTTGGAGGACGTTGCCTCACTGGCCCAAGTTGGCACCATCATTGCGATCTTCCCGGGCGAGGCAGCTCAGTCACCAGCTTCTGGACGGCCGCTCACTGCGGCTGCTGGCCGCTCACGCTGGCTGCTGGCTACACATGGTAGCCCATGGCAACCCACTGCAGCAGGGGCTGCAGCCCACGCCGTCGCCACCAGCGACTCACAGCAGCCCAGCTCCAGGTTGAGCTGTTGTTCAGCATCTTAGCTGTGGAGGGCAGTGTCACTGGCCCTCATATGTGGGATCCGAACCGGGGCCCTCTGGCGTCCCAAGCCAGTTCTTAACCATTGCGCCACTCGGCCGGCCCTGAATTTTTTTTCTATAGGATGTTTTCTGACCTCAGGGTTTCAAGTGTTTTTGCTTGTTCTGGGTTTTTTGGCTATCCATACCTATCTTATATCTGTTGTTTGGTTTATTTTTTACTTAAGTCTTAAGTAGTATCTATAAACTTGCAGGGTTGATGTGCTGATAAAACCTTGGAAAACTCTGGCTTCCACGCACAGATGGTAGCGAAACACTGGCATTGTGTGGGATTGTGTAGAATCTGCCAGTTGATATTAAAGATTTATACTCACGGGACCTTTTTAACTTAGGGAAGAATTTGACATTTAGTTATTTTTGAAATGCTGATATTTTGCTTCAGTGAAAACATAGAGCAGTGTGGCCTGA